TCACACACTCTACTGCTAGTCTTCTGCGGATATCGTATCGAACGACGCGCCTCAGGGTGCAGTCAGTGGTGTCGGCACACGCGGCGATCTCTAATAGAACACATCTCCCACCAGTCTCGCCCTGTGCAACGCTTACTTCTTTTTTCATTGTTCTTTAGTCTGGCAAACATGCAGAATGAACACGATACAGTATCGTCAATTACTTCCACTGGAGGCTTACGGAACGCTCTGCTCGATCCATTGCAAAATCCAAGCGACTTAGCACAGAGTTGGAAATATGATTTGGTCGTTCCCTCCCGCTCGCGGGTGTGATCGATAACGTACAATGTTGCGTTAGATTTTTTAAGGTGGGTTTGGAATCCCCCCCCCCCCCCCCCCCCCCCCCCCCAACCAAACAATCGTTATATCTGCCTCAGTTTTATGCGCAAGTACATCACGCTATCGCGATCGTTTTCCCCGTTTTTTAACTTAAACATCTCGTTGCGTTGCCGAACTTCTTAACGGCCTCACCGTCGCCTCTCGAAACATCAAACTCGGACGAAATCCCTTTCCCCCCATGTTTCAATTCTGAGCTTGCAATTTCGTTTTGATATCGTCACATTTTGCCTCAGCTTCAAGATACCCACTTCGCCCGTGCTTTCCACAGCCTGCCTTGACTTCGAGAGAAAGTAACAGAAGCTGTTATACGTAGAATTGCTCTCGAGACTCGGCTGCATTTTTGCTTGCCCTTTACTACTTTTACGATCATTTATTCGATACGCCCTGCAATCTCTGGCGATTTATGATAGTTGTTGTCTCCTGTCATTTTCGTGCTCTATATCCTCGTTTGTTCTGATGTTACTCGTTTTATTTTTATAAAGACCTTAACGACTTCAAGATTCAACGAACCCCAACCCCCCAAAACCCACACAGCACGACCCTCCTCTGAAACAGAGCTTGTTTGTTCCGCCGTATAATCCTCGAAACTCTACCCCCATCGCCGTTCACTTTTTCTGATGGGCTATTGTTACGACCGGAATCACCACTCAAACCCTAGAACCTCGCACACTTCCAACGCTGGACAATAATCTGCTATCTTGCCGCTACCAGATCGTATAGAAGGCACCAATTTAATTGATTTTGCCCTAAAAATCAATAATCTTAGCTGCGAAATTTTCCCGTCTCCAATCGACGTGACATTCAAACTTTTTCTCGTACAGGATCAGCTCGTCCTGTTTTAGTCCGTGAGGTCGAACACCGAAAAGCTGGAGCTGCCGTCGATCTCCCAGGTTCACACTCGACTTCCCACTGATATACCCTGGTATAATCATCACGCTGCAGAACGACCTCTGATAGGCGGTGACAGATTACCTGCCCTTTTCCTTCCTCACGCACAGCAATCCTCCTCTTCAGGTCGAATAGGCTCTCAAGACTCGTCGATATCTACGGTCTCATCGACTGGCTCGAACAGCGCCAGCTCCGTGGCCAGCTACACGACGTATTCTCAAGCCCCCACGGGCGAAGCCAAGAACCCTCCTCCTTCGTCCACTGACGGGGCTGGTGGGGTTCGTTCCCGATATTCCCTGGAGTCTACGAGCCAGCCGGATTATCTCGCCGGAGGAACTGTGAGTGAGGGATATAGCATTACCCAAACAGCGCTTGGAAGTATGAATCAAACACAGTCTTACCTGGATGTACATACATCACATTTGTCATCCGCACAGCCATACTCATCCCATGGCACCCCCGCTTCGAGTATTCCGCCTTACCAGTATTCCCAGCCTCCAGTCCTGCAGTCTGGGTCGTCTTACAGTTCAAGTGGAGCCTCGTCGTACCCTTCATATGGATATCCTAATGGCGTTGCCTCTCCACAATCCGCGACCCAGGCGGTCACAAATGCCCTTTCCTCCCATGTACCCGCTCAAATACTTCCCTTGCCCGGTAAGTTTTTTTTTTTTTTTTTTTTTTTTTTTTTTTTTTTTTTTTTTTTTTTTTTTTAAAATTTTTTTTTGCCATCCCCCGGGGGAAAAAACCCCCCAAAGGGGGGGGGGGGGGGCAAAGCAAAAAAAACCGGTTTTTTTTTTTTTTTATTTTTTTTAAGAAAGGACGGCAAAACCCCCAACCCTTCTTTCATATTTCCCAAGTCTGTTAAACCCCCCCCAATCAAACGG